TTGGTAATGGTCCGTCCCTAAATTATATGTATTCAACATATCTTTAAATTGTAAGCAAGAAATTACTATAGGGGCACTTTGAACTTTCATGCCAGTACGCTGTTAGCCAGTGCTGTGTTCAATGTGCTTGGCTGCTCGCCCAGCACCCCCCCCCCCCCTGAAAACAACCTTGCTGGGTCGAAGTACATATCTCGTCGATTCAAATGGGGATATTTTTATTTTCAGAGCAATGGATGCGGTGAAACACTACAGTGCTGAGCAACTAGGCGACATGACAAAGAATGACATCTCGCATTTAATCGGGGATAGAGAAGGAAAGAAACTGTATACACAACTCACCATCGAGAAATCTGGTGACTGTTGGCATGTAAGTAAATTTTACAGCTGTTTCTTCTTAAGATCAGGTTGCATCAGGCTTTGTCCGGTTTTCTGACACTGATTCATTTAGGATTAGACAGATCCAATCTGAAAAAAATAGTAGGTCTAGTTTAGTGTTCCTTCTGAGGTAACACTGGACAAACAACTAAACAAGAGACGATTCTTACTGGACCTCTAGGGAGAACAGTTTAGAACTGATAGAGCTATCCAGTATAAATAAAGTTAGTTTAGTTTAGGTTTTCTCCTGTAGTAACACTGGATCAATAAGAGATGATCCTTACTGGATCTCTAGGGAGAACAGTTTAGAACTGATAGATCTATCCAGTATCAATAAAGTTAGTTTAGGTTTCCTCCTGTAGTAACACGTTGGATCAATAAGAGATGACTCTTACTGGACCTCTAGGGAGAACGGTTTAGAACTGATAGAGCCATCCAGTATAAATAAATTTAGTTTAGGTTTCCTCCTGTTGTAACACTATACCAGTAAGAGATGATCCTTACTAGACCTCTATAGGAAGAACAGTTTAGAACTGATATACTGTAGAGTTATTCAGTAGAAATAAAGCTGGTTTAGTTTACGTTTCCTCCTGTGGTAACACTAGACCAATAAGGGATATACTTTACTGGAAGTTTATAAGTCAGATCTTATAGAGATATCCAGTATAAATAAAGCTATATTGTTTAACACCATATTCTGTCCTAACCATTTAACTCTTTTTCGTTCTTAGCAAATTGTGGTTCATCGCGGTGTGTCCGAACTCCAGGTAGCTACTACATTATTTCTACTTTAGGAGTTAGGAGTTTTAGTTTACCATTTGTTTGCCGCTTGGTAGACAGTATTTTTTGTTGAATTAAATGTCTTCATGAAAATGTTTTGCTGTATTCTCTAGGCTGTTATGAATCGACGGAAGAACATCAGTGACTCTGATTTGGTAAGGATATTGATATTGATATTGATATTGATACCTCTAGCTAACTTTTTTCACTTTCTTTCCTTTAAGACTTTTTACCCTCCATTTTTTTCTGCCAACCTCAAACATTTTCTGACACCAATGGTCCGCTATATTTTGCAGCCCTGATATCTTCAGTGCTTGGTCCCGGGGTTGTCCTTGATTCCCACGAGAAGGCCTTTCACCATGACGCCACTATTAACAGCTTAATCTCGAAACTATATAATCATGCATGGATCCATATATTGTAAAAGTCCAACCTCGATCTCTGAGCTGAAAGCCGATGATAGATTTGCTGGAGGGTGCTTACCCCTCCTAGCCTTCGCAAAGGGGGGGGGATGCAAGTGGGGGTGGGGGAATTTCCTTTTATTCAGGTATGAAGACCCTGTCCGCTATACCAGCTTGCTCATAAAAACTATTTCTTTTCAGGGAGCGAATGCGGAACTGAGCTCACGAGGCATCAAAAGTGCCGTCCGTGCCGCACAATCAGACCGTCATGACACGTGGTTTGAGAAAAAATTGACCCGCCGACCCTCTTTAGAGAACTTCCAAGATTACAACGACTACAGTGAGTCTCGCAAAAAGACCCAAGAACATATGACAAGGCAGACCTCTTATGAACTTCGAAGGAAACCCCCTGTGGATATCCCCACCTCCCCAACTAAACCCAAACCTCCTCCCCCTGCGCCCAAGCCACGTAATTCTAGCCTGAGTGCACCAATCCCCCCACCGCCACCTGAATATACGGCTGAAATCCCCGCCCCAGTGCTGGTAAGTGTTATACTTGTGAAATAAACATTTCAATGTGTGGACTTGAATGGTGGTACATTTCAATGGTGTTACACTTACAATGGAATGAAATGTTTTTTACAGAGTCCAAGCAGTCCAGGTAGCCAGAAAGTTGATGATTTATTGAGGGAACACGAACGGCAGCAACAGTTACTGAGAGTGAGTAGAGAAACAAGAATACCCATCACTAACGCCATCATCGTTATTACCATCACCAGCAGAACAGCATAACCACCGAACATACAGCAACAGTTACTGAGAGTGAGTAGAGAAACAAGAATACCCATCACTAACGCCATCATCGTTATTACCATCACCAGCAGAACAGCATAACCACCGAACATATTCAACGGCATGAACATCTAAATTGAATGGTTATGTCGAAGACACTCAACGGTATAACCATCCAAGTTGAATGGTTATGCCGAAGACAGTCAACGGCATAAACATCTAAGTTGAATGTTTATGCCTAACATATTCAACGGCAAAAACATCTAAGTTGAATGTTTATGCCGAACATATTCAACGGCATAAACATCTAAGTTGAATGGTTATAAGACAGTCAACGGCATAACCATCTAAGTTGAATGTTTATCATAAACATCTAAGTTGAATGTTTATGACGTTGAATATCAACATCATAAACATCTAAGTTGAATGTTTATAACGTTAAATATCAACGTCATAAACATTCAACTTAGATGTTTATGACGGCGATATTCGACGTCATAAACACGATCAATCAACTTAGATGTTTATGACGGCGATATTCGACGTCATAAACACGATCAACTTTGGTGTTTAAGACGTCGATATCAACTTTGGTGTTTATGACGTCGATATTCGACGTCATAAACACGATCAACTTTGATGTTTATGACGTCGATATCAACTTTGGTGTTTATGACGTCGATATTCGACGTCATCAACACGATCAACTTTGGTGTTTATGACGTCGATATACGACGTCATAAACACGATACAATTTTTGGTGTTTATGATGTCGATATTCGACGTCATAAACACGATACAACTTTGGTGTTTATGACGTCGATATTAAACACGATCAACTTTGGTGTTTATGACGTCGATATTAAACACGATCAACTTTGGTGTTTATGACGTCGATATTCGACACGATCAACTTTGGTGTTTATGACGTCGATATTCGACGTCATAAACACGATCAACTTTGGTGTTGATGACGTCGATATTGACGTTGAATATCAACGTCATAAACATCTAAGTTGAATGATTATGACGTTGAATAGGAAACGTCATAACCATCAAAGTTGAATGTTTATGCCGAACATATTCAAAAGCATAACCATCAAACTTGAAAAGTTATTCCGAAGACATTCAACATTTAATTTTGCCCTTTCATTTTTGAAGGAACAACAAAGACAATTAACAGAACTGCGTGCTCAGCAACAACAAAAAGAACAAATACAACATTATGAAGTAAGTGGGCGTATAGTAAAACCATGTAATCAACTGGTGGAGCTATAAAGGTAGTTTGGTTAATCCAGTTTAAATAAAGGTAGTTTCGTTTAGGTACGTATATTTTAGAACTGATATAAAGCTATCCGGTGTATAAATAGAGATAGTTTCGTTGAGGTACGTATATTTTAGAACTGGTATAGTTATCTAGTTGAAATAAGGGTAGTTTCGTTTTTGAGGTATAGTTTACAAATTAGAACTGGTAAAGCTTAGGTATGTATACTTTAGAACTGCTAGAGCTATGCAGTGTAAATAGAGATAATTTGATTAGTTTCGTTTAGGTTTCCTTCTGTGGTAAATAGAGGATGGTCCATACTGGATTTTTGGCTTGCTGCTTGCAGCCCCATATTTTGAAACGGAGAATATGCTTATCGAAACTTCCGGCTCCGAACGGGCTACCTCCAGGAGAACAGTTCAGAACTAATTGAGTTATCCAGTATAAAGTTAATTTGATCTTTGAGAAAGTTGTTTTTTTATCTCTTGTAGCAAAATCGAATCAGACTTGAGCAACAAGTGAAGGACCAAGAAGCCATGCTGAAACTTTTACAACAACAACAACAACAACAGCAACAACTACAACACCCAACGCAACTGCAATCCCCACAAATCCCCCTACATCATGGCATTGCGCCACAGGGAGCCTATGTCTCTTACCTACCATATCAAATGCCGGGCGGGATCCAGGCTCTTCCTGTACAAGGCATCCCGGGTACCCAACCTATTTATACCATCCCTCAAGTGTATGGTGCTATACCACCCCCTGTTGGCTTCCAACCAAAGTGAGAGGTAAGGGTCATACATGGGAGAGGGGGGGGGAAGTTCCTCCGAAAACCAATTGTCCACAAATTCAACGTTCAAAAATCAATAGCGCAGTCAATATTGCACATCAAGTGCTATATATCAAAATCAAAGTTAGTCCTTTCTGAATGCAATGATCTTTATTTCATTGCAATAGCTTTTATAGCTTTTACGTTACAGTATCCATTTTTTTTTGGGACACCCGCTATACCGCTTGCTAAAGTCGCTGTGTCTTTTCTTCTTCAGTTGTGTGAATTTGGGTGAATATGAACATTTTTGTCATGAATTTAAGTCAGTTTGATCTTGGTTGAAACGTAAGTAGTTTGGCTGTTGAATGAATCAATACGGTGTCTATATTATATAAATATATATAAAGTATTACAAATGAAGTAAGATTAGAATTTTAGTGTGTGGTTGTGTGTGTGTGTGGAGGCATACCATGATTTCTGGTTCAGGCCGATGTTATAGTGTCCCAAGTGGTCAGCAGATTATATAATGTACTGTCGTTATTTGTTGCGCAGTGTCTATGTAACATCGATGTAAATCAGAAATGGTAGTATTGCTGTATTTCGAGTTATATATATAACCAATATATAGAAGGAAGTATAATCGACAAATCTGATGTAACTAGATTACAAAAACAGCATGGACACTGAGTTCTCACAAAATGAAACAATAGTAAATAGGAAATAAACATAGTTTTGAAAGCGATAATGTTGAAGGCACAGAGCAATGTTTATTTTTTATTAACTATGGATCAATTCAATACATGTATAACAACGTACCCAAATCTGATAGTTTTCTGATTCGTTAACGTCATGCATATATTTAATAGCAGAATTTGAAACTACAATCTTGGATAAAACTGGTTGAGATTTGTTGTTCCTTTTCTAAAAAATTCACCAATACGTACTTTGCCAATTTTCATGTCGAAACGTGTTGCACTATTCGATTACCCCCCCCCCCTCCCCCGCGCACCCACATACACACATTCACCCATCCACCCACCCTATGGTACAAACGAAATGTATACACGCGGGGAACAACACTTCCGCATACCTACGCGATATTTGGCTCATAAGTACCAGACCGTAATATTGGCGTACCTCCGGTGCGCAAGTACGCGAATAATCGCACCGTGCGCCGGAACTATATTTTAAGAAACTTAATTAATTTTGGTTGTGTTATGGAATAATGGAAAGTAAACATGGTACTGGTTTGCGCAGTGAACTGAGGGGGAGGGGGGTAGTCCCCATTGTCAAGTTCAACTTGAACCGCTAAATATGCAAATTACTTGCGTTGTTCTCGACCAGTTTTGTTCAAGGTTCAAGTTTCTCGATAGAATTAACATTGAACAAACTTAAATTATTTTTGTAACTTAACTACACATATAGATTAATTCAATAAATACGAAATGAGTATATAATTATTTCTCTGTTACATGGATAGTTCTGTCAGTTCCAATCTGTACTCCCTAAAATTTGGGTGATCAGCGTTACTGCCGAAGAAAACAGAAATACTGTACACGAGAAAACCTGCGATGTTTGTCTCTTTAGTAGTGTTGTTAATTGTTCTCTTTAGAGATCCAGCAAATCCAGTCGAACTGGGTAGCTCTACTGTTCTCCCTAGAGGTCCAGTAAGGATCGTCTCTTATTGTTCCAGTGTTACTACAGGAGGAAACCTGAACTAAACTAACTTTATTTATTCTGGATGTTATCTCTATCAGTTCTAAACTGTTCTTTCTAGAGGTCCAGTAAGAGTCATCTCTTATTGATCCAGTGTTACTACAGGAGGAAATCTAAACTAAACTAACTTTATTTTATACTGGATGATAACTCTATCAGTTCGAAACTGTTCTTCCTAGAGGTCCAGTAAGAATCATCTCTTATTGATCCAGTGTTACTGCAGGAGGAAACCTAAACTGAATTAACTTTATACTGGATAGCTCTACCAGTTCTAAACTGTTCTCCCTAGAGGTCCAATAAGGATCATCTCTTATTGATCCAATGTTTCTACAAGAGGAAACTTAAACTAAACTATTTATACTAGATAGCTTTATCAGTTCTAAACTGTTCTCTCTAGAGGGCAGACATTGGTTTAGTGTTATTACTATATGAAGGTAAACTAAGCTACCTTTATCCTTGGAACTTTATCAGACCCCAAACAATACTTTCCGTGGATATATAATTTCATACCTTTGGTTCTTCCCAGAGATTCAGTAAGGTCCAGTACCTTCGCTGTTTTGTAACTGGAAACGCTCTTCTCAGTGATTGGATCGAAGCTGGACCACAGAGATAAAAACAGACAACAATGCCGCAAACCTCTCAGGAAAAACGTATATGACGCACGCAAGATTCATTTCCTCATTTTTCTTTTGTCTTTCATCCCCCTGGCAGTGTTTCATTTAATGTTCGCAGGATCTTTCCTTTTGTACTTACAACATTTCTTACATGACGTTTCAAGCTGTGTTTGAAAATGGTATTCCAGGGAGGGTTTAGCTCAGAGCCTCGGCAGCAAGTTCTTTTCATTGCTCGCCTACGAATCCCCCCGGAAATGCCGCGATTCCCGGGGTGTGCACATGTAGACGTGTAATTTAGTTGTTTAACATGACAAAAGTTTTAAAACAATCTCAACAAATAGTTTTAAATTAAGAAAAATTGAAAACTAATTTGATTTGTCTAGTCGACTTGTTGCCATAGTATGTGAACACGCCAAGTATAAAGACTTCTAAAATTTTAATTTAACACAACATTTCAGTACCAAAAAGGAAATCAAAGTAACTGGACTCTAAACCAATATAGACAACACGTCACAGACAGACCGATTTTAGGCAGGCCCTACTTAAACTTTCAAGTTCTAGAGGAAATTGAATAATATTGTTCTTTCTTTCTTACGCTGTTTCCGTTTGGCCAATTTTGGAAATGTTGACAGAAACTTAATGACGAACTGCTTTTTTGGGTCTAATATTGACAAAACTCTCGGCAAAGATTAAGCTAAAACGGTTTAGCCCGCCGTTTAGGCTGCTAAGAATGGCATTTACAGTTAATCCCGGATTAATATATACACGCCATTTTGATATATTTTTGAAGCCAATTTTGCGGAGAAAATCGGAAAGTCTCATTCGAGTTTTTGTACACAAATTGACTGTTTAGTTAGCAAGCGTACGTCTGCTAAGAATGCGTTTAAACTCTCCAAAGTATTTACAAACGTTCGCTTGTTAATTTATTACTTTTCGGAGCTTAAAATGAAAGCAATTTGAATAACAATAGTGTAGCGTTGATGTGCGCAATCAAGCAGCAAAAATTATAACCAAACAATTTAGGAATTCACTAAAAATACAGTTCGTTTTTTTCAAGTTTCGAGCAGTTTGGGGGCCTTTTAAGGAAGCTAGAGATGTTAAATCACCTAAAACGAAACTGTAGTAAAGTTTTATTTGTCTTGAACGGCAAGGAAACGAGGTTTTGAAGGACTTGTTGTCTTCCATTTTCCGTTCTGACCTATTGAATATTAACTCATTGCCCATATATGGCGTGTTAGGAGCCGATTACTCGAAGAGCATTATGCATAATAAAAACACTTTCTCAACAGCGGGTCACCAAACGTTCCCTGCTAAGCAGTTGGCTTTGGGTAAACTTTTGTCGACGTGTAGAGCTAGCTTGTGAAGGTGCTTCGCCTTTCTCGAAGGATTCACGAATATAAACATGGACAGTTCTAATCTCAGTCCCGAAATTTTACAAGACCTTCGGGAAAAATTCGAAGAGGTAAGTTTGATTGTGCATTTCACATACAAGTCTGAGCTCGACTGTCCAGGAAGTGAAACTCAATTCCTATGCCTTATTTGTTATTTCACAACTTGTTGTAGTTTTAGGGCTGTTTTGTGCTCAATTCTAGACTAATTTACTCGACTTTTATCGTTAGTT